ATTTATATGAATGTTCTTAACAAACAAACATGATAAACTATAACTGGTATAGTTTGGGAGGCACAAAAACTACATTATCATTACAAAAGAAACATCTAATTAATTAAAATATAATTAGTCCATCTAAAATCAAAAGGAGTTTTCAGTTCACGTAAATTGATAGATACTGGTTGTGAGACTTTGTCAACGGTCAACCTTTGACCCGACTCGTCGAGTCTTGCATAGACTTGTCGAGTCCATACGTTGAACTCGAGTCCTTTGAATGACTCACTCGAGTCCGATTCACCCAACTCGGCGAGTCATCCACTGATTTGAATCACGGGACAACCCGCTCTGACTCGTTAGTCTGCTCATGTACTCGAAGTTCTTGGATTCTCACAATTGTCAGGGTAATCCATAAGTTTTTGGTGATCAAAAGTCATCGCATCATGTTATTGATTTAAAATATGTAATGGATGAAATTCAAATATTCAATAAAATTGTTTTAATGCTTTGATTCTGTTAGGTGCATTTCATGCATTCATTTTTTATAGTTTTAGTTCATAAAAGTGCATTACATTTAGGTTTAGACTCATGCATTTTGTATAATTTCGGGATTTTTCATGATGCAATTCCATTCACACGCTTTTAGAATATTTCAGGGACTTATGAAGGTTGGATCTTGTTGGAGGAAGTTATCAAGAGTTGGATACAAAGTTGTAGAAGTTTTGGAGCTTTGAAGAGAGAGAATGAAGAAATGAAGAATTTGGTTTCACAGGAGTTTACACGGCCGTGTAAATTTATGCCTTTGATTTACACGGGCCGTGTAAACGTATATGCAAGGACATTCTACTTCGAAGACCTGGAAGACTTAAGCATTCTACTTTTCTTGTTTACACGGCCGTGTAAATGGAACCCTTTGGTTTACACGGGCCGTGTAAACGTCTCGGCAGTTTTAAAGTGGTTTTGTCTTCTTATAATTCAGACAATCAGTTTTTATGGAGGTTAGGTCGGATTTTGGGAGGAGAAGAGACGATTTTCAGAGCTTTTGCAAGTAGATTAACACTTGGAAAACACTTTAATTTCTTTTTGTAAGTCAATTTGAAGTTTAAACTTGTTTGATTTGTAGTCCAACCTAGATATGTGTGGTTGATTTTATTATCATTTCCGAATCTGAATTCTTAAGTATGTGTTGTTAGATTGTAACTTGAATTTGACTTATGTTTAACATCTAGTAATCTTTGATTTGATCTTAATCATGTGTTTGATTAGTTCTCTTTTTCACTTGATCAATGAACTAGGGTTCTATTCAATCTAGTTAATCAAATCATGAAATTCGTATATGTTTTATGATTTGATGTTAGTAACACTCACTTACTTGGTTGTAATTAGATCAAAATTAGTGCAATCAAAGATTAAATGTTTATATTCCCAAGCTTAAGAGGAATGTTAAACATTGTTGGTAATTAGTGCAAGAACTTAATGTCATTTAATGATTTAATGCAAGAGCTTATTTGGGTTGAATCAAATAAATGAAATTTTATTTAAAGAGCTTATTTTGAATAGAATACTTTTGCCAATTTGGATATTAGAGTTTATTAATATCCAACTTACTAACCTAGATTGAACATGAGTTATAATCATATTACATCTTTCAACATAATACATATATAAGAGTCAGAATCGGAAATGTACTTCTTTTACTGCGTTTGTTTTCAATCTTTCTTATTTATGAAGTTTAATTCAAGTTTAAATACAAACCCCCATTTCAATATTACTTGTATTATGTGTGAAAATATGGTAAGATGAAAAGTCCGTATCTCTGTGGACCGACCCTGCTTACTCTATACTATCTTTAGTATTAGAAATAGCAGTGATTTGAGTTATATTAATATTATTTTATCCCATCATTTGTTGGTTTGACACCCAAACAAATTGGCGCCGTTGCCGGGGATACGGTAGTACTAATTGTTTATGCCAAGATCTTTTCGCACAGGTACACCTTTACCAGTTGATTTGGAAATAGAGAAATCTGCTAAACAGAGAAGGAAGCAAGCCAGACTTTTAAAGAAACAACAACAATCCAGAGCTTCTTCATCAAATCCATCAACTACATCCTCTCCAACATCCAAAAGTATCACCCCACCATCTTCACCTACTCCTACCATGGCAGACAACCATGGAGGACATCAAAATCCTCCACATCCACCACCTGAACAAACCTTTAGACAATGGGCTACTCAAGATGTCACCCAACAACCTTTGTGCATAAATTACCCTGCAGCAATCAACTTTGAACTCAAGTCTGGACTCATCCATTTGTTACCCTCATTCCGTGGTCTTGAGAATGAAGACCCACATAAATTCCTTAAGGAATTTCATGTTGTTTGTGTGGGTATGAAGCCACATGAAGTCACAGAAGATCAAATCAAGTTAAGGGCATTCCCCTTTGCTTTACAAGATTCAGCCAAGGAGTGGTTGTATGACTTACCACCGGGGTCAGTCACAACATGGAATGAACTTGCAAGGATGTTTCTGGATAAATATTTTCCCGAAATGAGAGCTTCAGCTTTACGTAGAGAGATAATTGGCATCAAGCAACAAAAGAGAGAAGCCTTGCATACTTATTGGGAACGGTTCAAGAAATTGTGCTCAAGATGTCCACAACATGGGATTACAGAATATCAGTTGCTGCAGTATTTTTGTGAAGGAATGTCATCTTGGGATAGGAGATTACTCAATGCATCAAGTGGTGGATCTATAGCTGATAAGACTCCAACAGAAATCAGAGTTCTTATAAAAAACATGGCAGAAGAGTCCAAGCATACAGTCCAAGAAGAAGAGTGGTATAGTGATGCACCAAGGGGGGTGAAAGAAATTTCTACTCCAAAAATTGAAAGTCAACTTTCTGAGTTGACTAAGGTAGTAATGATGCTTGCAAAAGATAAGGGCGTGCAACCAC